TGTGGCTGGGGGGGGCCGGCGCCAGCCAGGGAGCGGCTGGGGGGGTCCGTGTCACCTCTCCTTCCACCCTACAGCCGTGGAGACCACCCCCACCACCTACATCAGCCTGGAGAGGGTGGACACCTCACAGAAGGTGGGTGCCATGTCCCCAGGACCCCCGATACTGTGGTGGGGACCCCCCTCACCCCGGGGACAACCCCCACCCCACCCCCATCTCACAAGCTTCTCCTTCCTCCCCAGGTCCACATCCAGCGACCGTCTCACATCGTCATGCCCTGAGTGGAGCCACCCAAGAGCCGGTGGTGAGAGGAAGGGGACACTGGGACATGGGGACACGGGGGTGCGTGGGTGTCTCGTGATGGCAGACACCGAGAAATCCACCATCCTCTTCCTCCCTGCGTGACCGTTTACAACAGCACTTTTTATAGTTGCATAAACTGTTATTTTTATTGTCACCCGCCTGTTTCTGCGTACCATTGGGGACACGCAAGGTGGCCCCATGCGCCGTGGGGAGGGACGTGGGCTTGGCTGAAGGATGGGGCTGTTGGTGGGATGTAAATCATGCTAAAAACAACCCCAAACCAGGAAGATAAAACACTCGGGATGAGTTAATTGCTGAGAGAGCAATTAAGAATTGCCATCGGATCACCCCAAAGGTGCAAGTCCGATGGGTGACGCACATGGGAGAATTTGTCCTTGTCCAATTCGTCCAACCTTGGGGTTAAATATCAGTCTGGAGGTTCATCCACGCCTCCTTCTCACCTTCCCCACGGGGAAAGGGACAAAGGTCTGTGGGGTGGAGGGCAGCTGTGGCGGCTTTGGAGAAAGGGGGGGACACACTGAGAGGGTCCCAAGGTGGTACCAGCCATGGAGGGGGTGATGAGGGACAGACGTGAGGAAGGAATCGGGGACCAGAACCACCCATCTGAGCACCGTCTCCACCCCATGCAGGTATCCTTGGGGTGTCACCCCGCTGTCACTGCCGTTCCCACGGGGGCGGGGAGGGGGGGGGAAGGCGGAAGCGCGCATGATCTTGCATGCCATCACTTGGGCCAGCAGCCAATTCGTGCCCTGCCCCTGAGTGCTAAAATTAGCAAATTTTTTTTTTTTTTTCCCCCCATCTTATCTAACAGCTGGGAGGTATGGGAGGTGAGGTGGGGGGGAGTAAAGTCCAAGTGCTGCTGAAAATACCTTGGGGGTGTGGGCAGGTGTGGCCCCAGTCCTACCTGGCAGGTCCTGGTGTGGGGTAGGAGCAGAGTCCCACGGGCAGCAGGGTGGGTGTCCTCCAAGAAACCAGGCAAAGTAGACAACGGTGCGATTTCCTTCATCTCCAAGGTGGCTATTCCAAAATCCCACCATTTTGGGTCCTTGAAACACCCTCTCCGGAGGTAGTCTATGCCAGGGATGCGCAGAGCCTCTGGGCCAGTCACAACGGGGTGCTTCTCCCAGTCATTCCCAGTTAGAGTCACTCCAACCTCCAGTAGAGTCACCTGTTGGGATCCCCCATCACTCCGGAAATACCGATGGGTTCTGCCCCTTCATGGCTCGATGGTGGTGAGGTACACGGTCTGTCGGTGTCCGCTACAGCCTTTTACTCCTGGAGGGCTCTTCAAGAGGATCATAATTAGGATCAGACCTTCCACTCGGTCTGGGGGGCTGCCTGCTGGAAACCGGAGCGGCATTTTTCCTGGAAGAATCCCCTTTTGTGACAGTTTTGCCTCACAGCTCACGTACTTGTGGGTCTAGGGTTGAGGTAGGCTTTCCATCCCACCTCCTCATGTCCTCTCCGTGGTCACACAGGTAAAACCACAGGGTGCCTCATGGTGTATACCCTCTATATCCTCTCTCTTGAGCAGAGGAACCCTTACTCCTAGTAGATGAGACACTGGTCTGTACAGGCGGGTAGTAGGACATATCCTCTTTGAGTTGCTGGAACTCCCAGGACAGTTCTTTGAACAGTTTTTTAGACAGTTTTTCCACAGCTGAGACAAGGGAGGAAGAGAGACTTTCTTCGTATTGCCAGAGTCGGCCAGCCACTTCGTCCACTGTTGGTGCCTCTTCGTCTTCCCAGTCTGTCACCACCAATGAGTTGGTGTATGATGATGATGAGCTCCATACAAACTTCCGCCACATTGGTTGGGTACGTTGGGCTTCATCAGGATCTGCGTGTTGTTGAGTCACCATAAACCATCTTTGGCGTGGCTAATTCCCTCAGGGATGGGATACCTCTCTCCATGGTGGTCCACTTGCCCCTGGTGACAGAAAACATCTCCATTGAAGGGATACCTTTCCCTCACGCCTGGTAGGAGTCACCTCCAGAGGCTGAGGGCTTGTGTCCCTTTCCCAACTGCCTTGTCCATGCCCCCTTCCCTAGAGAGATCCCAGCTTCTCGGCCTCCCTACCCTCCAATTCCAGGCTACAGGTCTCGTTACCCCAGCACCAGAGCAGCCACGTAATGATGTGCTCACCTGGACGACAGCTGAAATCTTTTTCACATACCTCGCAGCTCACTCAGGGACAGGGTTGGGGTGGTGACTGTCTCGTTTATGGGTTCTTCCTCCTGTTCTCGTGATGACCCAGGTTCATCATCATCCCTTACTAAGCAAACTGATTTCTTTTTGGGCGTATTTCTTCTTCTGTATAGCGGTGACCGATACCGGCGCGGTTTGGTTCTCCGATTCTGCTGCAGCAGCATTTTTAAATAGTTGTTTAACCCTAAAGACAACCTGAACCATATTTAGGAGACCCAGCAATAGAAACATGCTGGTCCAGACATCCTGAGGGTATTCAACATTCTCAAGAGCTGGAGGAGAAGGAGAAGATGAAGGAAGGTGTCTCCTTCCATAGATTAGTTTTCCAAGGAGCAAAAGTAAGAAGTGTAATTATTAATACTTTCCAACAGATGGCCCCCAAAGGACGGAGACGACGGCGGTGCCGAGAGTTGTCTCGCCACCAACACGTTTATCACATCATAAGCACACCGCGACGATAACGTCGAGCTGGAAGGGGTGTCATAGAGGTGATAAACGACACAACAGGGAACGTATATCGCATGTAAGGTGTTACATGACGCAACTGTGAAAACAGGAGCCTAAGTCAACATTGTGACCGGCGACTATTTACCTACCACAACGGAAGGTTTATGGTAGGTTTGTTTTAACATGATCTGCTCAGACCTGTCGTTATCTCAACCCGCCGTGCCCCACATTGGGTACCAAAAAGGATTGTTGTGGTTTAACGACGCCCAGCAACTAAAATAACCGCAGAGCCGTTTGCTCACTGCCCTCCTTTCAGTGGCATGGGGAAGAGAATCCGGGAGGGGAAAAAAAAAAAAAAAAAAGAGGGAAAGTTTGTGGATTCAGATAAAGACAATTTAATAGGACAGAAAAGGAAGAGAATAAATAATAATAATGATAACAATAATAATGATAACAATAATAATGATAACAATAATAATAATGATAGTGGTGATGATAAAAGAATACATGAAACAAGTGCACAAGTGCTCAGACCCGTAGACCACCGATGTCCGGCAAGTTCCTGAGCCGTGGTCCCAGCCCCCGGCTCATTTCCCTGGTGTTATATACTGAGCGTGATGTCATACAGTATGGAATATCCCTTTGGGTGGTTGGGGTCAGCTGTCCTGGCCGTGTCCCCTCCCAACTTTTTGTGAATCCCCAGCCTACTCGCTGGTGGGGGTGGTGTGAGAAGCAGGAAAGTCTTTGATTTGGTGTAAACATTACCCGGCAACACCCAAAATGTCAACATTCTTCTCAGCCGAAATCCAAAATACCCGCTACCAGGAAGGAAAATAACTCTACCCCTGCCGAAATCAAGACATGAGGTCACAACCCGAAAAGTGCTCACAAGAACAGGACAAGGGCCCCCAGTTTGGGGTCAAAGCCTCCTCCTGAGGAGGGTCCGGGCTCTCCCACAGCGCTGGGGTAGACCCTGTCCCAGCAGTGATGCCCATGGAGGGTGGTGGTGGTGGGTGGAAATCAGCATCCTGGTGTCCCCCAACCTGTCACGGCTCAGAGCTGCGTGACCTTCTCCGGTCTCGGGACCTGGACCTGTCAAAATGTGTGTGTTGGGAGGGAT